GTTTACTTTCAGAGAAGTGATGGCAACACCACCCTGTATCTCATACAAATCCCCTTGACGTCATGTTGACAAATGAAACTCTGATGAATCCAGCAAAACCCAATATACCTATCTGGTTTTGTTTAACCGCTCCCTGTGTAACATTACACGTGTTTGGTGTTTGCAAATATGTGTTCGAATCCCTGTTCATCCTGATTGTACTTGTTTTTGTCAACACCCTACCCGTGCTTTCAGCAAAGCGAATAACCGTGAACAACCGTGTTATTGGTCTTCAGCAACCCATGCTTGTCGTAAGAGGTGACGGGATCGGGTGGTCAGGCTTGCTGACTTCAACTGTTTGAGAGGCATTCTAGAAGTTATATGCAATAATGAATGATAATAGCGACGTGTTATATGGATACGGTTTCAAACGTTTTGCCTCATTCCGTTTATTGTAGCGTCCGCCCGGAGAGAGGAATAGCGACGACCGCGTTACCGGTATATGGATGCATTAATATACAACAAGGACTGGTTTCAAGCACATGCTTCACTGCGGCATTATCTCCTCATGCTTACCAGCAGTCTCTAGTACCACATACACATACATACGCAACGTCGTCATATGAGCGAAATATTCTATGACGATAAACCCAATTTCACCTCACCTCACCTCATGCTTAAGCATCGATACCGAAACGTCGCTATTGTACAATTAAGAAGATGATCATCCATAAAACACTTGTCATTCCTTTTGCTGACTTGGTTGAAACATGTCGTCGTATCCCACGTGCCTAGGTCGATGCTCATGATGTTGATCACTGGATTGTCTGGTCCAGATTCGAATATTTACAAACCGCCGTCATATAGATGGGATATTGCTGAGTGCGGTATTCCACATCAAACAAACAAACGGCACATGTCTAGGACAAACATTACTTACATGTCGCCAATCTGTGCAATAACTGAACTACTGTATTAAATTCATTCACTCACACTGATTCGGATGACCAGGGGAAAGAAAGTATTACCTTGACATTTTGATTTGACCAGTAAATCATAACCGTTAACGAAACCAGTTGTTGTTTAACGCTACACTGACCAATATTCCAGATATTTGGTGGCGATCTGTATATAATCGAGTCTTGACCGGACAATCCAGTCATCAACAGCACGAGCATCGATCATTTGGGATGTGATGGCTTGTGTCAACCAAGTCAGCGAGCCTGACCACCCGACCCCGTTAGTCGCCTCTTACAACAAGCATGGGTTACTGAAGACCAATTCTAACCCGGATCTTCACGTGTACAAGTAACTCACGGATATGACGAAGTGTGAATTTAGTCTCAACAATATGATGTATATTATTAAACACGAACTCCAGTAATTACATACTAAAGTTAAGGGTCCTTTGGTTTTATCATACCGTAATTTACTGTAGTTCACTTATTTCATACCTATTTCAAAATCGAACGTCAGTGGCATATCCCCGGATCTGACTGACTGACTGACCGAGTTCGGTTTAACGCCGCTTTTCGCAATATTCCAGCAATATCACGGCAGGGGACACCAGAAATGGGCTTCACACATTGTGCCCATATAGGGAATCGAACCCGGGTCTTCGGCGAGACGAGCGAGCCAACGCTTTAACCACTAGACTACCCCGCCTGATATGATATGTAAATGATCCAACTTGCCAACACAATGCTGGGAGAATAGATAATTCCATACAACTAATCCCGAGAGGAGATGTAGAGCCGTGATCCACCATGCTGTGATCGGAACGCCCCTTTCGTGTCGTGTGGCAGGACAATCAAATGAAACAAATTATGTACATTTACTTGACAGTGCAGTTTTTCAATGATATCCTGGGGCGGTTAGCCTAGTGGTTAAAGCGTTCGCTCGTCACGCCGAATACCCGGGTTCGATTCCCCACATAGGGTACAATGTGTTAAGCCAATTTTTGGTGTTCCCCGCCGTGATATTGCTGGAATATTGCTAAAAGAGGCGTAAACCTAAACTCACTCACTCACTCACTCAAGTTTTATCAGTTTATTGCATGAAGGCCAGAGGCCCATATACAGAATAAATATGTATGATATGTACAACATATACAACATGCGACACACACGTTACATTGAATCTCTTCTCAATATAAGCGCGTGATAAATAAATAGAGCTACCTTATATTGTAATAGGGATGCTTTACACGAAAGTATTGAATACAGAGAGTAGCATTAATATTTGATCCACCATTGTTGAAAATACAGAACGCCTTAAATCATTATATGGCAGGACAAAGAAATAGAAACAAATTCTGTACATATTACAAAATGGACAGAACCTTTGTGATTTTATAATAGATGAATATCTTCCTTGATATACATCATTTAGGCCAAGTCTCAGGCGTATGAAAACATTACGAAGCTTTTACTACGTAAGTTGTATAGATACGACTATTTCTCAATGATATCCTGCGCGTTTCTTTTGTTTTATTACTATTTCTATATTTTGGGTATTTTTAAGTTGTAGTTATTCAGAAGCACATGCTCATGATACTACTGGAATCTTAAAACTGACTCTGCTTTCGGCATGAGTGAGTGGTTATGGTTTAACGGCACTTGTAGTACTATTCTAACAATAACATTTTGGGGGGACTTCTACTCATGTGTGGAATCGATCCTCTGTCTCGTGGGGAATCGAACCCGACCACTAGGCTAACCTAACGGTCCTTTCAGCAGAGAGATCATTTGGCTATGTGAAGGACTTTGGACATGGCGAGTGATATCTTGAATAACGACATTAAATTTGACTCAGATTCTATCGAAATATGTGCTGAAGCATACGTAGGTACGTACGAGCGAACGGACGCAGGCACGCACTCATACACACACGTACACACACATACATACATGAACAATTTCGTAATTGAAAACTAATAATTAATAAAGACATACAATGCTATAAATATTCCAAACAAAAAAACAATACCTGCTCAACATGTGTTTAATTTATTTGTTAAATCATACAATATGTATGTACAACATTGTTGTATACAAAAACCCACAAACAACATTTCAGCACTAAATACACGCAATAAAAACATGAAAAAGTGTACCAATTGAAGACACGTTTCATATGAGGTCAGAGTTTTGTACACTGATTCTGAATCAATGACAAACATAAAACAAAACAACAGTGAAAAAATACAACCTTTCAAATCAAACAAGTCAACATTTTCCGACTGAACATGCTTTGATTAATACTCTGACAACATAGTTCTTTTATTAATATGTTGTTTATCGTCGAACTCAGCGATTCAGTGGCTTGTAATTGATCTGGACTGGACCAGACAATCCAGTGACTGACATCGATTAATGCATTTGGGATACAATGACATGTGTCAACCAAGTCAGCGAGCCTGACCACCCGATCCCGTTAGTCGCCTCTTACGACAAGCATGGGTTAGTGAAGATCAAGTATTGCTCGGATCACCGTTAATTTATAAAGTATGTTAATAAATCAGCACGAAATACGTTGACATTGGTCAAACAGAGCATGCTTCAAGCTACAGTAGTATAGCGTTATGACGCTGGGGAATCCAACACAGCATTGTTGGCAAGGTCAGTAATCAAGTATTTTAAGAAAACAAAAGCAACAAGTTCCAGATCACCAAGACTTCAAAGAGAGTGAGGTAGTGAGTTTGGTTTTACGCCGCTTTTAGCAATATTCCAGCAATATAACGCAGAGATGCCAACCCCAAAGTGCTGCAAATGGTAGTTTCAAGGATCAAAATTTGTAGTTTGACCATAAAATTAGTAGTCAACTAAATACTTAAAATCATGATGGAGTCTAAGAGAGATTAAATGACACTAATCAAGAGTGAAGCTTAATTTCACATACCTCCTACAGTAGATTTCAAAATTATCAGCATTACATTTCTTCTTGTCGTCTCTTTTTGGCGAATATGTATTTACTTAACGAAAATATGTTTTTGTCTATATATCCGAATTTTAATGACATTCCTTCATATTTCGTAGAATTTCTAGTGCAACCGTATTGGCGTAGTTTGAGGCTAAACTCCGTAGTAACTACGATAAAATCGTAGAGGTTGGCATCCCTGTATAACGTCGGGTGACACCAGAAATGGGCTTCACGCATTGTACCCATGAGAGGTATCGAGGTCTTCAGCGTGACGAGCGAACGCTTTAACCACTAGGCTACCCACCGCCCCACTTCAAAGAGATATACAGTAAAAGGACAGTGTGGAATTATACCACTTATAAAGCATATTTTAAAATATTTGGAAGGGATAGTCATAAAGGCAACATCAGTGACAAAAACAACGTGTTCCGGAAACTGAGCACAGTTGTCACGTCACCCGACCTCATAGTTGAGTCTTGACTTACATTTGGACGGTGAGACCAGGCAACATACATAGTGTTTACTCAGCCTTGAACGGTATGCTCGTATCAAGGGGTCTGCTTGGTGTGGGAAGAAAGACCGAAGTAATGCAGTCCTTGGACGTTCAGCTCCTTTTTGAAAGCCTGGCAATAATGCGGGCAGACTTAAAAAAAAGACTCGGATAAACCCGAGATTCGAACCCACCATGGGTCTCTGGATTTCACCGCACCGTACAGCTAATAGAGCGCTCTGGGCGACATTGCGACCCATGACCACGGCTGTTGTCCTGTCTAGTGAGTGAATTTTACGCCGCTATTTTAGCAATATTCCCGAAATATCACGGCGAGGGACACCAGAAAAGGGTTTCACACATTGTACCCATGTGAGGAATCGAACCAGGGTCTTCGGCGTGACGATCGAACGCTTTAACCGCTAGGTTACCCCACCTGCCACCTTTTGATACTGTTATTAAAAGAGTGCAGTTTAGTAATTTAAGGTTCAAGGACAGGGCCCCGTTCCTCAAAGCGATCGTAGCGCTACAACAGTCGTAAGTCTATGTTGGAAGATGGGATCATCTTTACGATCGCTTTCATCATTGCCATTGTCTCGCGCTGGACGATCGCTTTGTATGGCGGGGCTGCTCCCTGCCAGGTAAACCTGAAACAAATGTATTCTCGTTATGGTGCGTACTGTTTAGACTGGACGTAAATATGTTGGCCGTTCTTATTTGATTCAGAAACGATTATGACCGTACTGTCGGAAATAGAAAAAACCTGTTTTATGGCTGGGGCTGTATCCTACACAATTGGGCCAGTCGTAAACCTGAAACAAGAAAAATGTTTATATCTGGCAAAACTTAGAAGAATACGAATAGCTGCAGAAAACAATAGATCAGACTATAGATGGCAATTAGGTGCGTTGGGATTATGTCGACTCACCTGGCATGAAATAGCGTCCGTAAATAGGGTCATCTGAAAAGTGTTTTCATGTGTTTGATGTCTCATCTATTGATTAACATCTTACGTGTCTTTCTTTCATATACACAATGATTATGAAAACCATAGAAACGCATCGTAGTATATAGGTGGTGACCACCCGAGGATCGACAGGACTGGATATTATTTGTAAACTGTTTGTCTGATCTTGATCTAAAGGATTATTTACAGGCTGTCTTTATACATCTAGTGACAACAGGTGAATGTCGGTAAAAGTTATTATTTTTACAAATGAAGCAAATGCATTTAAAAGGTGTCCTTGGATAATAAGCATAAAATGTCAAAACGTCTTACCCGGATTTGGATCGAACGCCACGTTTAACAGATTTCAACTCCCTGGTACCCATTCCGGTTGTCACTGTGGTTGTTGTTGGTATCGCTGTGGCAATGTATGATTGGTACCCGATACGTTGTCCCTGCTGGTTGACTGTGGTTGTTGTTGGTATCTCTGTGGCTGCTGGTACCCGTATTGTTGCTGGTACCCCTGTGGCTGTTGGTACCCGTGATGTTGCTGGTAGCCCTGTGGTTGTTGGTACCCTTGTTGTTGCTGGTACGCAATAGGTATCGTCTGGTACCCTCCCTGGTAGCCCTGGGTATATGGTGGCGGCATCATTACCTGGTTGGGAGGGTTCATGAGAGGCGCTCCAGGAAGAGTCGTAGCTACAACCGTCTGTCCAGTCACCGACGTAGTCACCGTCCCACCAAGTTGTCGTCGAGCCTGCTGAGCCAGTAGCTGACGTTCGACGTAGTTCCTGTTGTAGTCATTGACCAAGCCAGGCAAGCGGCACATGTCTACAAGCCAACCAATTCCAAATAGTCCCAAAGTGCAGAAGTATAAAAGTCCCCACAGAGGCCGACCGAGGTAGAAGTGATGCACTCCGCTAATGCCGTACGTGAACCAGAGGATGTACACGTCGTCCACGTGCTTAAGTCCAGCATCTCGTTCCCCAGCATTTATCTCCCTTGCCCTCCGCACGAGACACGGCATCCGGAACAAGTCGTACAGCCACCCCAACCCCACCAAGCCCAACGTTATCGTGTACAAAAGGCCCCAAAACGGCCTGTTGAGGTAATAATGGTGGGCGCCAAGGATCCCAAAGGGAGACAACCCAAACATGTAGGCTGCGAACATGGATTTTGGTGGCTTGTATCCTGGAGGGTAGTCGTTGACCTCTTTGACGAGGTACGGCATCCGGAAGATGTCAATGAGGAAGCCGATTCCAAAAAGGCCAAAGGTCATCAGGTACAAAATGCCTTGCCCGGGTTTTCTCAGGTAGAAAAGATGAAAACCTTGGAAGGAAAAATAGTCGTGAGTGAGTGAGTGAGTGAGTGAGTGAGTGAGTTTGACGCCACGTTGTAAACAGTATTTCAGTTAACAGAAAATACCATTGAGAGCCGTAAGTGGTACACGACTAAGATGTTCATAGCCTAGGTTGGCGATGAGGAACTTGATGAGTGCAAACCGGGATTCCAATGCCCAACGACAAGTTTCTGTCTAACTTAAATTTGCAAGACACCGTCAGAATATCACACTGTTATTTACATTATCAGTATCATTCAAAATATATCAACAATATCATGAGAGAATAAATGGAAATCGCTTTAATGAGCAAATGAGTGAATATGGTTTTACGCCGCTTTTAGCACTATTCCAGCAAAACTGAAAATACCTCAATAACATCGATTATCTGTATCAAAATGAAACAAATAGCAACTACTGTAATGGATGTGAACACATCGTGTCTTCGTGTCTGTCTGTGCGGGAGGCCTTAGGGTTAAAGCGTTGGCTCGTCACGCCGAAGACCCGGGTTCGAATCCCCACATGGGTACAATGTGTGAAGCCCATTTCTGGTGTCCCCCGCCGTGATGTTGCTGGAATATTGCTAAAAGCGGCGTAAAACCAAACTCAGTCAGTCAGTCCTCTGTAGGGGCGTATCTGTCAGTAACGATTGTAAACCGACGATGTTAAAACGATTAGTCTTTATGTCGTCAATGCGTCTACGTTGGTTTTACATTGCGGTACAGCACCTCAAAACGACGACGTCGTTACCACGTCGTACCGAGAATGCCACAGTCCGCTGATACAGAACATTTGCACCGTATGCTTTATCGGTGAGCAGTTTCAAGGAGCGGCATAATTACTATCCGTATCCACCAACGTTGTTTGAACGTACATGTTGTGGCTACGTGGTCTCTACACCTCCAACGTTGTCGCGACGTTGTAGGTGCATCAACTTTCCCCTACAATGCTGTTACAGCGAAGTGTCGTTGATGTCAACGTCCGAGGAATATGTAGTTGTTTGCTTCATCACACAATGGACATAGGCCTCAGTAGCTATCCCGCTTCAGAAATACACATAGCTTGAGTAAGTGAGTGAGTTTAGTTAAATGCCGTTTCGGCAACATTCCAGCATTCCGGCGGTGGGGTAGTCTAGTGGTTAAAGCGTTGGCTCGTCACGCCGAAGACCCCGGTTCGAATCCCACATGGGTACAACGTGTGAAGCCCATTTCTGGTGTTCCCCCGCCGTGATGTTGCTGGAATATTGCTAAAAGCGGCGTAAAGCCAAACTCAGTCAGTCAGTCAGCCCAGCAATATCACGAAAGGGGACACGACAAAAATAGCTTCACAAATTCCCATATGGGAATCGAACCCGGGTCTTTTGCTTGACGAACAAACGCTGTAAGCACTAGGCTACCCTACTGCCCTACAGACCTTGAAATACGAACCACTATACATTCATTTAATTAAGAACACTAAATAATAGCATGTTATTTGACCAGTGATCATTTTTATCAGTGGAAGGCGAGTGGCAGCCACCAAGACTAGTGGAAAAAACGTTAGATCGTCTCGTTGATACAAACGTCGTGCCAAAGGTATTCGGCACTTGACGTAATTTCCATAGACTTACATGTTAATTTAATGTAGCATAAATAATTTTCATGAATTTAATTTTCGTAAGGTCCAAGTCAAATTCTGCACATTTGTGAGGAAGCATATTACCTACAATCACATAATTTCTGTTTAAGTTTTCGTTGCTTATTTATCGAATGGCAACAATTTAATCAATATGTGTACAGTGCCGAGAACTCCTTTAACATGGCGGCCTATGGGATTGTGCATTGTGGAACCATACGTAAGTTGATAAATGTTATATCATTAGTTAAATAGTGGTCGGAAAATTGAACTGAAATTATGTGCGCAGAGCAGAGATGATTTAAAATTTGACTGTCAAATTTTACAAAGATCCATCCTAAACTCACTTCATGAAAATTATTTATGCTACACTGAAATAACATGTAAGTCTATGGAAATTACGTCAAGCGCTGCTTGCGATACTATTTCTAGTGTCGCTTTCGTGACATTCTTGTTGACTTCGTCTGGCTCGTCTGGCCCCGTGTGGGCCGGTGGGTTAGCATAGTGGTTCGTCACGCCAAAGACCCGAGTTCGATTCCCCACGTGGGTACAATGGGTGAAGCCCATTTCTGGTGTCCCCGCCGGAATATTTCTAAAAGCGGCGTAAAACCATACTCACTCACTCATTTAACGATTTTCATTTATTCTCTCATGATATTGTTAATATATTTTGAATGATATTGATAATGGAAATAACAGTGAGATATTCTGACGATGTCTTGCAACATCAAGTTTGACAGAAACTTATTGCTAATTGTTGTTGTTGTTTTTTAGGCATTCGAATCACTCACGAACCCGCCGTGACATTGCTGGAGAATTGTCAAGAGCGGCGTAAAACTAAATTCACTCACTTAGTGAAATACCATGTTCACTGATTTTAACCAGCACACTTACCCAAAATCCCACATGGAAACCACAAGATGTAAGCGTCGAGGAGAGACTTCTTGTCAGCAAGAGATGGGTCCATCAGTCTTAAATTGGCCTCTCTCACTAGCAACGGGATCCGGACCAGATCCACGAGGTACCCCACCCCAAACAAGCCGAAGGTGAAGAAGTAGGCCACGCCATACCAGGGTCGGCCCAGGTAGAAATGGTGTGCTCCCAATGGCCCCAACAGGAAGGCCAGGATGTAAGCTTCGACCAGGGACTTCTCATTGTGAATCACATGACGCACGGTCAGATTGACCCGCGTCTGGTCAGCAGGTGCCCCTGCGGCTTTCATGGTATCTGAAAATATTGTAAACCAAAAGTCACCGTGTTCATTAATCTGATTTGTTGAAAAACATGATCGAATGGTATTCGATTCCCGGAAATTGCAAGACTATTCACTGCGTATTGATGCGTACAATTCTAATTCAACTTAGCATGTAACACGAGTTCTGATTGGTCAATGCTATAAATTTCCGACCGTATAATCAGCATATACGGTCGCAATTTGAAAACCGATCCACCAAAACCTTTGAATGTATTCCTACACAATTGGGGTAACGCTGTTTTTCAGCGCATTGTCATTTGCAGAAGCCCTAGGCCAATTAACTCCCCTATCCAGCTAAAATGGGTGGAATGTGCGTTTAAAAAAGACAAAACAGTATCTTAAATTTAATTTTAGGTTCAAACAACCAAGGACGTCTTTGAAACAACTTACTCGCAACGGGCTGTTGACCCAACGCTGTTAGATCATGAAGCAAGACTTATGACGTCATTATGGAGCGTGACGTTACCTGCTGTGACGTCATTTTACAACAGAACTGATAATGGCCCGTAGTTGAGGAATCAGCGTGCCGCTCATTTCTGATAACTAGAGAGTGGTTTCATCATTATTCCGTCCATTTTATCTATAACACTATGAATTATTCATCATTGTCAGATTTAGACAGCGTGTGCATCACTCTCCTACCCAGAGTTCCATGCGGCAAGCCAGCATAGTACCTCTGGCACAGGCCAGAAAAATGTGACGATTCGTCACATCTTGCAATGTCCATTCAATATAATGTACATATTTCTTTTACTCTTTTATTTTTTACGAGTTTACACATCTAATTAAACATCTTTAATAGAATGGTTTAGTTTCACTGAGAAAATATCCAAAAACATGTAACACTATTTCGATTTGCGTAGCGATTCTTTGTTTACATAGGTTGTATGGCTCCACGTGCTGTCATCGAAGCTGATGGAGAGCAAACGATGCAGCCAGTTTGATATATAAATATGTACTGTCATAGACCTTCTTGTGGAAGAATATATATGTAACAATGTAAAACATTATGAAGAGAGCGCCGAAAAGCTTTCGTGAGTCCAGTCTCTTCTTATTATGAATATGCGCGTTTGTTTACAAACAAGAGAAAAGTCTGGTCACGTGATATGCAAATTAGCCTGTGGCAGTGATGTTATGTTAGTCGTCGCTGTGCCGGAGTGTGTATGCACATAATAAAGGTGTTGAAGTTTGAATAGGGAACTACTTTTTCTGGCGATGGTGTAAGTTCAAGGAGTGATGTGATTAACCTTTGACCTAGAGGAACTTTAACCTGGTTTTAAGTAATGAATTTCTTTCACGAAAAAACAGCGTAAAACGAGTTGAATTAGAATGGGGATAACTGTACTGTGTTTGACGAATTGGGGACGTATACCGGTGGTTATATAGCCGCAAATTTAGTTATATCGGCGACGCGTATCCCCTAAATATCGCACACAATTGTATTGTTGCGTCGTCAGCAATAGTGACGTCATTCAAATCATATTGTGACGTAAAGTCGGAATGACGTCACAAATAAGCAGTTCCAGTAAGCTGTTTCCGATATACGAGACAGGGCCCAGCTTACAGTTCCAGATGCTATCATGGGGAAGCATACAGTGCATATATAGAGAATACTACACGAGGTCTCATTACATACGAATTATACGAAACGAGTGTCCTTCCTATGGTATCTGACCGAGCATAAAATTGACAAAATAGCGTAGTTTTTTGTTATTTTCAGGCTTTCAAACCCGGTTTCATAAAGAAGTTGCGGAAGAATTTTGTTCTGTAGTATACTTTTGCATGAGGTCACGATGCAAGTCAGTTGTCATCGCCTCGTACACCTTCCTACAGTAAACTACTCCGTAGCACCCCGTTTCTTGGTTTGCAATTGCTTCACTCGGCTAACATCACTGGTGGAAACATTGCGTTTATGTTTTTTCGACGGATATGAGGTCTCAATTCGACTCACAATTAGACAGCGATACGGCAACGTTCGCAATGTTTACATCCCCACAATGCATATAAGTTGTAGAATGAAAGAATTCTCGTGTTTGTTATGAATGAACAAGTAGTTCCGTCACAACGTGACCTAACTGAGAGGTCATCGGTTATCAAATCAAATCGTTAGAATCTCAGGTCAAGTCGTTACGACACAGGGCCTAGATTTTCGAAGCTCTCTTAGCGATAAGATGGTCGTAAGTGCCATACATTAACATTAACTTACGACTATCGTAGCGCTAAGAGAGCTTCGAAAATCTAGGCCCAGGTCAACGCGATACGACACTCGTGTGACGTACGAGATTAATATGCAATTACCCATACGTTGACCACGTGGGTAGTAAAGAAATATACGTCCAGTATACGAGATGCCCAGGTTGTTCTGTTCATGATAGGGATGTGAATAGGATGCCTGAATATTTGTAATAGGATAAAACTCCAATGTCTATACTGCCCTATTTCCACTTTTCTATACTTTTGACGATGCCTCCGTTCCTATGCACTAGTAGCTACGTCTTATCCATGTTGATTTCTAGTCCCCATTTGTACAAAATATATCTTGTTTTTGTTCGCTACAAACCAGTAACACTATGGGCGTCGAGTGATAGGACTATTTCTAGGAATTCTTTACCAACAAATGTTTCCTCTCAGTTCTGCATTATGAATCCTAGATTTCAGTTACAAAAAACAATAACAATAACAGAGGGGTTAAAGGACATCCTTGTCGGACTCCACGTAATTTGCGGTAATAGTGTTATATTTGTATTCCCTATCTTACAGCAGCTTTTAAATAAGAATATACTCATTGTTGAATGCTGACGAATTTGCCATAAACATCTTTCTATAATATAAGGAATCGTAAAGTTGTTTGTTTATTCACTGAAATGTTTTGAGAAAGCCAAGCAATAACACCAGCAAGGAGTGAGTACCACTGATTTTAACAGTTTTGTCTATTATCTATTATCACATAGGCGTCATCTATTGGGCTATATGACGGGAAACCATAAAATATAAATCAATATTGACCAGACAGATCAGAGGTTGATATTAAGAACAACTATCGACGCCTATAGATATGGATGTATATTGACGTTACATCAAATTACCGATCAGTTCAGGCAAATCGCCGTGTACCTGGGGCAGTTTGAACCAGGAATTCATGCAAGGTGCTTGGAAGATATTTCAGTTATGCGGATATGTGAGGGTATTTGTAGACTAACATCAAGTCTCTGAAATGAACATATTTTACAGAAAAAAACGTTCATAAAAATAATCATAAGATATAATGAAAAAGAGCCCAGAGTCGTCTTCTTCATTTTCCTGAAACTATGGAAATCTAGACTTGCCACATATTTTAGACTTGCACGGGCTTTCTTGGATACATCTATTTCATGGTCTGTATGACAGACTAGGGTATTTCGTGAGGACATGATCGAACCACATTGCGTCAGTTATCAGGAGTGAGTGAGTGAGTTTATATTTACACCGCACTCAGCGGTATTCCAGCTATATGGCGGCGGTCTGGAAATAATCGAGTCTTGACCAGACAATCCAGTGATAAACAACATGAACATCGTTCTATGCAATAGGGATACGATGGCATGTGTCAACCAAGTCAGCGAGCCTGATCACCCGATCTCGTTAGTCGCCTCTTACGACAAGCATGGGTTACTGAAGATCAATTCTAACCCGGATCTTCACGGGTCCAGTCAACAGGAAACAACACAGACATGTCAAACGTACTGGCAAAGACAAATGACAAAAGTAACGTAACCACAAGAGTGAGTAGTTTTCCGGTAAACATATTAATGAAATACACAAACAATGAAACATACCGTATGAGAGATGGTTGTGTGACTAAACACACACTGTAAGTGAGTGACGAGACGTCACGGGATGATGTATATTTCAGGCTATCATGACAGTGTATCCAGTTTTAGATATCTCGGTTATGTCGGCCTCCCTCTGGAGACGAAACTGTAGATAACAATTCCGCTGATGGTGGATCTCAAGTCCGATACGAGTCGATACGAGATCAATTTACTGTCGAACCTGTTTGATAAAGCTGTTCCGCGAAGCAAAGGTCAGGTCACGTGAAAGGATGGGTTGCAACAATCAGATCCGAAACCTGATATGTCACGCGAACAACGAATGTATTTCCGAGGTATGTGTGTGGACGCCTTCTCATCAAACACTTGCTGATAATATGAGGATGTAGATAAACTGACACTCTTCCTCGTCGATTCTCTATTTAAATGGCAGTCCGGAAGATCAGTGCTTCGCTCGTCACCCCGTAGAGTGTTCAATGTACGAAACTGGTTTCGTAACAATGGTGGAAAATTACAGAAAACGTCTGAATACAAAACTCACTCAGTCAGGATTTATCTCATCAACACCGATGAAAAGTCATGGTACTTGATGTTACCTTGCCTCCCCTCCTGCTTGAGGGAATAGTTGACTTAGAGTCAGAACATAACTCTGAAGGTAAAGTCAAGGTAAACTCTAATATGGTTTATCAGCGAGCTAGTACTATCATATGGACCATAGTTTGGACAAGTAAAACCCATGAAGGTCCGGGTTAGACTTGGTCTTCAACAATCCATGCATGTCGTAAGAGGCGACTAACGGGATCTGGTGGTCAGGCTCGTTGACTTGGTTGGCACATGTTTTCGTATCCCAATCGACGCCCATGCTGCTGATCACTGGATTGTCTGGTCCAGACTCCATTATTTCCAGACCGCCGCCATATAGCTAGAATATTGCTGAGTGTGGCGTAAAACAACAAAACCAGTGGACTAGTATACGCGGAACACACACACACACACACACACACACACACACACACACACACATTGTCATGCATCGAAACACACGAAGACAAACATGCACAAACATACACACAGAGACATACACATACAACTACATACACAGAAACCCATACAGACATATACCCACAAACACACTAAAACACATACAGACATATACCAACAAACACACTAAAACACATACAGACATATACCCACAAACACACTAAAACACATACAGACATATACCCACAAACACACTAAAACACATACAGACATATACCCACAAACACACTAAAACACATACAGACATATACCCACAAACACACTAAAACACATACAGACATATAACCCACAAACACACTAAAACACATACAGATATATAACCACCCACAAACACACTAAAACACATACAGACATATACCCACAAACACACTAAAACACATACAGGCATATACCCACAAACACACTAAAACACATACAGACATATACCCACAAACACACTAAAACACATACAGATATATAACCACAAACACACTAAAACACATACAGACATATACCCACAAACACACTAAAACACATACAGATATATAACCACAAACACACAGAAACACATACAGACATATACCCACAAACACACTAAAACACATACAGACATATACCCACAAACACACTAAAACACATACAGACATATACCCACAAACACACTAAAACACATACAGATATATAACCACAAACACACAGAAACACATACAGACATATACCCACAAACACACTAAAACACATACAGATATATAACCACAAACACACAGAAACACATACAGACATATACCCACAAACACACTAAAACACATACAGATATATAACCACAAACACACACTAAAACACATACAGACATATACCCACAAACACACTAAAACACATACAGATATATAACCACAAACACACAGAAACACATACAGACATATACCCACAAACACACTAAAACACATACAGATATATAACCACAAACACACAGAAACACATATAGACATATACCCACAAACACACTAAAACACATACAGATATATAACCACAAACACACAGAAACACATACAGACATATACCCACAAACACACTAAAACACATACAGACATATACCCACAAACACACTAAAACACATACAGACATATACTAAAACACCAGACATAACCCACAAACACAAAACACATACAGACATATACCCACAAACACACTAAAACACATACAGACATATACCCACAAACACACTAAAACACATACAGACATATACCCACAAACACACTAAAACACATACAGACATATACCCACAAACACACTAAAACACATACAGACATATACCCACAAACACACTAAAACACATACAGACATATACCCACAAACACACTAAAACACATACAGACATATACCCACAAACACACTAAAACACATACAGACATATACCCACAAACACACTAAAACACATACAGACATATACCCACAAACACACTAAAACACATACAGACATATACCCACCACACAAACACACTAAAACACATACAGATATATAACCACAAACACACTAAAACACATACAGACATATACCCACAAACACACTAAAACACATACAGATATATAACCACAAACACACAGAAACACATACAGACATATACCCACAAACACACTAAAACACATACAGACATATACCCACAAACACACTAAAACACATACACACATATACCCACAAACACACTAAAACACATACAGATATATAACCACAAACACACAGAAACACATACAGACATATACCCACAAACACACTAAAACACATACAGACATATACCCACAAACACACTAAAACACATACAGATATATAACCACAAACACACTAAAACACATACAGACATATACCCACAAACACACTAAAACACATACAGACATATACCCACAAACACACTAAAACACATACAGATATATAACCACAAACACACTAAAACACATACAGACATATACCCACAAACACACTAAAACACATACACACATATACCCACAAACACACTAAAACACATACAGACATATACCCACAAACACACTAAAACACATACAGACATATACCCACAAACACACTAAAACACATACAGACATATAACCACAAACACACACAGAAACACATACAGACATATACCCACAAACACACTAAAACACATACAGATATATAACCACAAACACACAGAAACACATACAGACATATAACCACAAACACACTAAAACACATACAGATATATAACCACAAACACACAGAAACACATACAGACATATACCCACAAACACACTAAAACACATACAGACATATACCAACAAACACACTAAAACACATACAGATATATACCCACAAACACACTAAAACACATACAGACATATACCAACAAACACACTAAAACACATACACACATATACCCACAAACACACTAAAACACATACAGACATATACCCACAAACACACTAAAACACATACAGACATATACCCACAAACACACTAAAACACATACACACATATACCCACAAACACACTAAAACACATACAGACATATACCCACAAACACACAGAAACACATACAGACATATACCCACAAACACACTAAAACACATACAGACATATACCCACAAACACACTAAAACACATACAGACATATAACCACAAACACACTAAAACACATATAAACATATACCCACAAACACTAGCTAGATCTGCCTTATTATAATCCAGGCTTGTTTTTGTTTCACAGAGGTCTTGTTAATCTTAGGGAGGAGAGGGTCTGGAAGCTGTTGCAGTAGTCTGGAAGATCAGAGAGAAGACCATATACAGTCTCTACTGAAAGTAACCAGATGCTTCCCACAAGGCAATACAAGTAACACAATTCCATGACATATATAAGGTTCTTTACCGTGTCAATAATATACTTCCTTTCAAAGGTTTAAACTCACTACTGTAAATAGCCACTTACTTCAGGCAACTGTTCTCAACTATTTTTTGCAAAATATCCCATACTGTTTAAAGATACTGTTTACACATGAACTGATGTATTGTCACTATTGTAAAACAAATTCGTATCGATGAACAGATTATTGTTCAATAAATGATAAAATCAATCTTTGATGTTACCATATATACATAAAATATCGTGAGTGTATTAAGTGAGTCTAAATTTGTGAAAAGATGTGTATATACCTATGTCCATTCCTAACGCATCTTAAGACTGTGAGCTGCCATATAGCTGGCATATTGCTGAGTGTGGCGAAAAACTAAACTCACTCACTCACTCAGAGTGTGAGGTAGCCTAGTGGTTAAAGCGTTCGCTCGTCACACCGAAGACTCGGGTTCCCCATATGGGTACAACGTGAGAAGCCCATTTCTGGTGTCCCCCTCCGTGATACTGAAAAACGTTTTAAAACCATACTCACTCACTCACTCACTTAAGAATGTGATTAAAATAATTGAATCAAATAAATAGTAGTACACGTGTATATTAAGTGGTTATTTCAGATAGGCTCAGTTTCATTTAAATTACAACAGCAAATATTAATACAACGAATGATTGAAATGTACAATAATATACGATAATCATTCGAAATTAACTGCCAAGTAAAGATTTTATCATCTTCGTTCTCAAAGTTATACTTCAACGATGTCCACATTATTCAGATTAAACATTAACCGGTAGTAAAATGACCTTCCTTAACCTATTAAGTTAATAGGAAAGTACTTCAGATTGTGAATGTCAGTGCTCGATAGATCGACTCGGATCCAGACACTTACTGAACGTTTACTGGTACTTATAGGGAAAAAATATCAGAGGCAGAACCAGCTTATTGCAACCAACATCCATCCCTTCTAATAGTGAAACATACCACGCTTTTTTTGTACCAACATAATGTATTTGTCATTGTATTTGTCTAGACAGCTATGTATGTCTGTTCTGGTTCTGGCCAATGCACTAAGCGGCATAGGTGGGACGAGGTTCCTGGGACCGCTGATGTGTCAGCGAAGCTGTGAGGCAACGTTGGGCTGCTCCAGCTTCTGGTTCTCACAGGAGCATCTCATGTGTCGGGTACTGCTGGATCATGAGAACATAACGGATGCATCGGGAGGTTTGACCATACGTGCCCACAACAAACAGGTGAGGCAGGTGGTCAGGGTTTTTTTCTTTTCGTGCTTTCATACTTATTTTATTTGTAAGTGCCAGCCACTAAGAATGATGATAATTTTATGGATATACAACTTCAATATTCTATGAAAGGCGACGTT